GAAGCAAATTGAAACCAAATTGAAGTTGCTTTGTTTCCTTAGTTGAATGCATTGTTATTCTTCAGGGGCGGCTCTGTATTTCATTTTGTTTTCTTCTGATTGTGATGTGGTAGGTGCTGTCACATAAAACTCAGGAATGCGGTGTTTATTTCTAGAGTCAGAGTGTTTCTCCGGGTGGCTTGGGACACTTTTACCTCGGAACTTTCATTTTAATTAGTGTGAGTGTGTATGCAGAACACAGGAGTCGGTGAAACAGTTCAGTTCTGGTGGCTTGTTTTATTTATTTATTTTAATTGTGGTGAAATATATTTTTAATGGAAAATAACGCGAATAAGAAACTCTGCTTGGTTGGTGCTAAATCCTTCTTGTAATGTTCATTCTTTCAATTCCCAATTTACTTTGCCAGTTTTATATATTTCTTTTCTTTCTATTCCTATTTATTTATTTTTAATCGAATTTATTGGGATGACGTCGGTTAATAAAATTGTATAGGTTTCAAGTGTACAAGTCTATAATGCATCATCTGTGTATTGCATTGTGCATTTACCACCCCAAGTCAAGTCGCCTTCCATCACCATTTATCCCCCTTTTACCTTCTTCTCCCTCCCCCCAGCCCCCTTCCCTCTGGTGATCACTATGCTGTTGTCCGTATCCATGAGTTGTGTGTATTTTATATATATATTATAACTTTCATTTTAATTTTAATACATACATATATATACACATAAAATGTATTTTTAATACACACATACATATATACATAAAATGTATTTTTTCCCATCTGGTTTCAGCTCCCCTGTTGGTGCGGAGCCTTCAGCAAAGGACATGCTTTGTAGGAAGGGCCAGTCTCTCGCCTTGCTGGCAGGACAACCCTCAGAAACACACCCTTCGCCAAGTCCCTCCGTCCCTCCCTCCATTCAGAGCATGCTGAGGGAGTCTCAGGCCTCACAGAGATTTCTTCTGTTTGGACTGGAGTTCAGCCCTGGACGTCAGCATCATAATTGTGTAATATCCTGGGTAACATTCGGTGGGTGGAGGGACAGGGTGGAATCCGGAGAAAAGAGGCTGCACCGGACTCGAGGCCGTGAGTCCTGAAATCGGGGCTGCTTTTCTGGCCCCCAGCAGGGCTGAACCAGAACACGACCGCGTGCCATTTACAGTGTTCTTTCAAGTCTAAGATATTAACAGGCGTTTTTTACCAGTTCATGCCCACGGTAGTCCCATGAATGACTGAAGCATCTTTTAAACATGTTTTTAATTACTTTCAACAAACATGTATCAAGCATGTGCTGTGTGTTAGGTGCAGTCCCAGTACCCGAGAACACACAAGAAATAGCACCCGGTAACCAAGGGTCACTCTCTTTTCTTCCAGTTACAATGGGTGGAAGAAGGCTCCCTCTTTTATCAAAGGACGGTGTTTCATATAAGTTCTAGATCCCCTTATCCCTTCACCTTCTCAGGATATCATTACATAAATATCCCTTTGCTCTCCTGTAGCTTTAATCTCTTGCTTTCTGCTTGATCTTTTTTATAGATATTCAAACTTACCAAGAACAGTCCTTTAACAGGTGCAACAAATAAATATTTGTTGAATAACATGAATAAACACTCAGTAGTTCTATACCTCGGCATCATAATGAAATCAACTGGGAATAGACATACAGGCATACGCGCGCACACACACGTGTGTATGTGTGTGTGCGTGCGTGTGTGCGTGTGTGGGTGTAAACATTTGGGACACATTTCCAAAAATACTGATTTCATTTTCTTGAGGATGAGTCCTGGTCATTTGTTTTTGTTTTTTTAGCTCCCAATGTGATTCTAGTGTGCAGCTGAGGTTGAAAACCAGTTATCTTCTCTCTTTAAATAATTACAAACAACTCATTAGACCTCATACTCCCCACTAGCTAACGCTGTTTTTTAATTCTCCATCTCAACCGAGATCATGGCGGAGGCGGGTAAGCACTCCCTCTGCCTCGTTTTCCCCTGACCCTTTCTCAGGCCGGCCTCAGTCCCCACCACCTGAAGCAGACCACGGCGGTGACGTCCATGTCCCTTCGCACCCTGGGCATTCCCCAGCTTCGTCTTCCTCTGCGCTCCAGCACTGGGCACAGCCCATCTCTCCCTCCTTGGACACTCTCACCGTGACTGGCAGACTTCTGTTCCCTCTTCATGTCCTCTTCCTCTCTCATTTCTTTCGGCCTCCTTGCAATCTCTGACACCTAAATGCTGAAGTTGTTCAAACTCTAACCCCGGGGCCCTTGCGTCTACTTACACTCGGCATTTCCATCTCTGTAAATAACATATTTATGGTGTTGACCTCCTCATTTGCATTCTAATCCAACTCCCTGTTTCGTACAACAGCCTAAAAACTCTAACTGCTACTTGACATTTTTACTTCGACGTTCCCAGACATTTCTGACTCAACATGTCTTAGACGGACACTTTCATCGTCCCTCTCCTGTGTTGGATCCTCCTCTAGTCTCCCCATTCCAGTAAATTACATCTCTACCCACCCAGTGGCTTATGCCAAGAAAGAACAGTCATTCTCCAGGTCCACCGTAGCTCCAAGCAAGTCAATCCATTACCGACGCCTCTTAGTTAAAAGTATAATTCAAAGCATCCGTCTCGTTCCATTCACTTGATTGCCAGCTGCTGCTCGCCTCTCTGTCACCTTGTTGATTCCAGTCTTGCCGCCCACGTTCTCCACAACCCTCCACTCTTCAGAAGCGCTGGAGTGACGACGATTTAGGAAATGCTGATCCTTTCATACCACTGCTTCCTTAAGACTTTCAATAATAAACAATAACAGCTAGATTCTACATTATATACTCTTATATTTTCCCCACGGGAGACAAGCCATTCTGTCATTATAGGTTGGGTTATGTGTCCATCCCCCATCTCGACTGTGTACCGTACAAGGACGGGAACTGGAGCCACCTGCTGGGCGCCCGGCCAAGGGCCTGACAGGGGTTCCACTGTGGAATGAAACAGTGAGCGTGGGAATGGACGGGGAAGGCTGACCAGAGCATGAGGAGGGGGGTACCCGGCTCCACAGGTCTGCTGAGAACCCCACCACTCCCCTCACCAACATGCCGACCGAGCAAGCTGCACTGAGTTCGTTCAAGGAATTGTTCCGTGTACTAACTTCCGAATCAAAGGGAAGTTCAAGAATTGCATTGTCCCCGTAGTGGACGTCAGGGGCCACTGGAGGGTGGCAAAGTGAGGGCATAGAGCAGTTTACGGTAGGGTATATTCGGGACGGGCATAGGCAGACTTGGCTTCAAGTCCTGGATCTGCCAGCTAGGCACCTTGTGATGTGTCGCCTCTCCCAAGCCTCGGTTTCTTCAGGTGTGCACATGAAGGGACATGAGGACAGTAGAACATGAAGCCATTAGAATTTCACCAGGTGCCAACATGGCCACCACCCAGCACCCATCCTGACGCCTGGGAGAAAACGTCTACATTTTAGTTCAGCTTCCCACCCCTCACTCTAATGCTTGACTCTGGTTCTTTTCCCCCTTTCCATCTGCATTTTGTTTTTTTTTTTGCCTGGCTTACTCATCTTAGTGGGTGGTACTACTCATGTTACTCACATAGTTTGAATTTCATGGGAAAAGAAGAATTACGAGTACTTCGGAGCAGGCTTTTTTGGGGATTAGAAATACAAACTTCACCGCTCCTCCACCCGGCGTTTCAAGAGCATTTTATGGTATACTGCTGGGTAACAAGTTCATCTTAGGATAACATGCTGGGAGGAAAAAGACGGAGGGATTCGAGGGGAGAAAATTAAAAAGTTAATTAAAAGAAACAACCTGATAATTGAATTCTCTCGCACATTTCTTTGGTTATTTGGGCGGGGTGGGGGGGTCACAATGCATGGTGAGTAGGTTTGCCTTTGTCGCTCACCTCAAAACTTCTAAATGAAACAAGCCAAGGAGTCCAGAGCCGGTCCCCGCCAAACAGATGAGAACAGGCGTAGGTCACACACGGTGGGCTTTCAGACGTGCCAAACAAAGCTGCCCTCTTACTCCGTCTTGAGCATTTTTATTTTTAAATGTTCTTAGCAGATTACATTACTGTTAGGCTAAGTCCTGGACTCATATCAGATATTTTATGGGCGTGCAAAATCCCCTTTTCATTTATTCTGTTTTACTGGCTATTTTTTTGGCCTCACTCTGTATCTCTGTGCATGTACACACACACACACACACACACACACACACTCTCACACACACAATCAATAAACAGTATAGGCAACTCTTGGACCCTTTTCAGATTGTCCTCCAGTAATAAGTGGCATGGGAGTTTTCAAAGTGTCTACTTATTTTAAAATGTGTTCCTTGTTTTTAAAAGAAGTTTGGATATATATGTCATTACTCTTTATCACAAACCACTTTAAAGTCAAAATAATTTAAGATGTGATTGATAGAGATAAGGTCCTATAATGAATTAACATGGACTTTGGAATCAACTGGAGCTACGTTCAAACCCTAACTCTCATGAACAACCTCTACTAATTCCTACAGTCAGCATGTATTGATTGATTGCCTACTGTGTGCCAAGGACCGATGAGGTTGCCGGTGGTATCTTTAGGCAAGTTCTATCATGGCTTTTATTAACGTTAACTTTTTTGAGGTTTTGAAAATTAACTTTAGAGAGGAATTTTAAAAAATATATTCCACCATTTTGTGTTTCTCATCCTTAGGGCAAATCCATTGAGGAAAGTAAAACAAGGTTAAATAACCTTACACACCAAATTCATCTAAATCAGGTTGCTGTTTGCACACTCATTCTCCAAAGCTATCTCTAGAACATAAGGTCTACTATTTTATTTTTAGTGATATTGTAATTTTTTGGACATGGTAAGGACCATCGATTGAGAGCCTCTTTGTTCAACCAGAGTCATGCAAGCAAGTGTGATCTCACACACTCATTCTCTCGGTGTGGTGGACACGCAGCTCTTTGTGAGTGCTAACAAGGAGTTTGTGTTTTCCCAGGTTATGGTTTCGTGGATTTTGACAGTCCCGCAGCTGCGCAGAAAGCGGTAGCATCTCTCAAGGCAAATGGCGTGCAGGCACAGATGGCCAAGGTAAGACTGATGTTTTAGGTTGTTTTATGTGTGTATGTGTGATCACATGTATCTTCGTTGCTGTGAGCTGAGTCAGAATTGCAGTTTGCAATAATTTGGATTATATTTACTTGTTAGGGAAAATAAAAAACCCTACAATAAGTTTGGCTTGGAAGAATCTGGCTGCTTTATTTGTTTCTTCGGGTATATTTATTAATGTGCTCTTTTGTTATGCTAATCTCACTAGTGATTGAAGGGCATTTGTGAAGTGCTCTATTTTGCCTGAAAAAGATGTGTGTGTGTGTGTTGTGTTGTGTGTGTGAGTGTGTGTCTAGCTGGGACTTTTAACAGGAAGTAGTATTGGGCAATCCAGTTCTCAGCAAGTTGTCTTTGATAAAGAGTGCTCAAAAGTCGCTCACCTCATGCGAGGGAGAGCTGATTACTGAATGATGAGGTTGTCTTATCTGTGCAGGGAAATGAAGTTAACCAAAGTGTTTGTTATCTGTTTGGCTAGGATTCCACTTTGGCTTTTATGAATAGAGTTTACCTAGATAATAATTTCCTAGATATTAATAATTTTCAACACTCATTTATTAGTATGTAGGCCAAATAGTCTGGAACTTTCTATCTGAAAGCATAATGCATTCTTATATTCAAGAAAATAAAGAAAATTGTTGATAATAGTTTTGTATCCTGGTTGTAGTGGTTGGTAGTAAGAATCTGCAGGTGTGATAAAATGACATTAAACTATATACATATATTGTACCAAAATCTATTTCTTGGTTTTGATATTGTATTGTAATTATATAACATGCACTCACGAAAACAGGACGAAGGGTACATGGGATCTCTCTATAAACTCTTTGCAAATTTCTGAAAATTTATAACTATTTCTGAGTAAAAATTTAAAGACATTTATAACATACATATATTATATGTTTCATACATATTTGCTTTAAAATAATAGTCATATTGCATTTGTTTCACATGCAACTTAAGTGTTTAAATGTTTTGTGTGTGATTACTATTACTATTTGAGTTTGTTTCTCTCTCATTCTCAAAAGTTAGGTAGGAGAGCCAGCAGGCCTTGAAATGCATTTATGTCATATTCATGTATATACATCCATATACCCTTAACTATTGCCATAGCAGCTGAGTGATATAATGACCAAGTCATTGCATTTTCAGTCATTGGAGTTTTGTTATGATTGCTAACATTCACCGATAACATTTTCCATGTTTAAGCTCAGATAACTAGAGGTGGATATTTGGTGTTCTTCATCTTTAGTTGTCTTCTCGTAAGCTGATACCACCAATATCTGTCAACCTTTTGCTGTGGGTCACTTCCCATATAGATTACTTTGATAGATTCATTGGCCTTTATGACTCATTAATTGTTTTTCAAGGCAGTATAAATTAGAGTTTGAATTCTTTCAGCTGTGTAATGTATTTCTCATCTGGATTATGCCTGGAAGCTTTGGATTTGGTCATGAGCTAAGATGGATGAAGTTAATATTTGTAATGAATAAGAAAATGTTGTACATGTTTTGGTTTAAAGCTTACTTGGCAAAGAATTAAATTACTTGGCAACTTAGGCAGTGACTTATGCCTAGGAGATAAGTGATAGACTATAGCTGTTAGGAATATGCAAAATAAAAATTTGAACTTAAAGGCAACACCTATTGACAATAAAATGATTATGCAAGTGCTTATTTTTATTGGAATATTTTAGATCTATTTTACTGGTAAATTACCAAATTTTGGAAATTACTAGTTTGTGACAATTTAGAAATAATGAATACAGTGTGTATAATCGCCACTGTTTCAAATGTTCTGAGAATACATATAAAGTACTTATTAGATAAAAGCCATTATCATCTTGTACAACAGGAAAAGAAAGTTGACATTAATTGTATAAATACCAAGGAGCCATTATGAATACTTTCCCTCTGTTTCTCATCATTCTTCTATACAAGGACTCTCTCTCTCACTCTCTCCCGTACACACACACACACACACACACACACACACACACACAGTCACTGACATCTCACCTAAACAGGAAGTGATAAAAGGGAAAATATGTTAAGGAACTTCTAAGAAAATTATTTATTATAGCTAGCGCTTTGGTTCTTGCTCATGCTCAGTGTCCACAGTAAGGAGATTCCAAATGGAATGTTTAAAGACACTTGCTTTATTTTACTTTACTTCTAGAGTTGCTGAAAGATTTCTACCTTACCAATTATGCTGTCTGGGGAATAAATTCTTATTCCACTTTTTCTCACAAACTTTGAATCTAAACCTGAGAGTTTTAGATCTACATCTGCCTACTGGAAAACTTTCAACAGTAAGTGACTTTGTAATTTAACTACCCAGAAGCAAATAAATAGCCTCCCTCTGACAATGAAATGGAACAAGCTTGACCACCTGTATTAGCAGATTTCTCACTGAGCTATTGGGTTTCATCGCGGTTTTTTTTTTCCTTTGTCATGGTGATAACTATTATTTATTATCATATAAACCTGCAATCTGCAGGGTGTGTGAAACTGTACAATATATTTTTTGCCATTTAAGTGCCCAGTGAATTGCCTGCTGTATCCTTGTTTTTATCAATACCCTACTATGCAGGTCGTGATGCTACACTTTAACACCTCCAGGATTTTACAGCAAAAAATGCTGCACATAATCTAGGTTCCCAGTAGCAACCTGGAGTGAACATGAAACCTTCCAAATGAATGGCTTTATTTAGCTAACTTATTCCAATGTGTGCATATGAAAAATTCAACCAATTTGTCAACAAATAGGAATTAAACAATGAATCATCCAGTAAGTGGTAATTGATTAATAATGTATAACCATTAACACGGACTAACATTTTCTGTATACTTGCTGTTCTGCCAAAAAAAAAAAAAAAATTTTTTTTAGGGATCAAAGGATATGTTTCTTTTAGGCGAGCTGATTTAGAATATTTTAGAAATACACAGTGGTTAGGAGCATAGGTTTTGAGGGAGAGATACTTAGCCCTGAAACGGTCTCAGACATCACCAGGCTATATGACCTTGGCTAAGTTATTTCAATATCTTTGAAAGTCTCTAATAATAATGCCTACATTATGGGACTGCTGTGTGATTAATTTTTAAAATACACAAAGAATTTAGCATAGTGCTTAGATTGTACCAAAATTCAATAAAATTAGTTACTAGTAAATGTCGTTATGCATTAAATTCACATTTGTTGCTGAACTTTCTATAACATGTTTTAAGTGTTATGTTATTACCAAACAGTTTCTTGAGAAATATAATAAGTAGCGTCAATCAATAAACATTTGTATTGCCTGCTAAATGCCAGGTATTTTACTAGGTGTTAAAGAATCAAAATTGAATTAAACTTCTTCCTTATTCTGGATTTTTAATACTTAGTCTATCTCCTTGGGTGCTATAGCTTTGGATTAACAATATTGGCCATTACTATTCTTGCCAAACTTAAGGTATTTAGAAGAAAGCCATTGTCTAAAGAACATGTCTCTGTATGCTTAAAAATAAGAAAGCTGAGACATCTCGTTAGCAATAGTCTAACCTTGGGAGGTGTTTATTTTCTTCAGTAATAAGACAACCATAGATAAGCAGTGTAGGGCAAAGGCTTTGGGTGAACATCAAAATCAAGACTGCTCTGCCATTCTTTATGAGTGGCTTTCATCCATACATATTATTTATTTCTAAAGCTCCGGCTATTGTATCCCCATTTTAGCCAGGACTTAAAACATGTAATTTAATTAACTAGTACCCCCTCAATAAATTTAATAAAGAAAATTTTCTAAAGAAAAGGACAAAAGGCTGAAGGACCATTCTGGTTGATTCGGTCCTTTTAAAAGATTTCCCAGAATTGTAACTCAGGAACTTGTGTTCACATAGCAATGGCCAAAACTGAGTCATGGCTTTCCCCTTAGCTGCAAGAGAGTCTGGGATGATGACTATTTTAGCTTCTTTGACTCTAGTAGAGAAAATTAAGAATAGTCCATCTTTTGCAGCATCCAACATCAATAACACCATTCTTCCCATTTATACATTCTGGTGGCATGCATTAATTCCTTTCCCAAGGGAACCTACCTTAAAGCTTCATCCTCTAATCACATCCAGTGATGCCATCATTTCCAACAGGCCCAGATACAGCTGCCCTCAGGGTTTTGTGACCAATAAGTTTAAAAGACATGATCTGTCTAAACTCCCCAAACTTAGAATGCTAGAGAAACACAGGATGCATGAAACTGAAGGAAGACTACCACGTAGGAACAGAAATAATGGGAAACAAGTGGAAATCACTGATTGCTTATACATATCAAATACTGTTGGGCAGGAACTGAATTCTAGCTTTGTCAGGACAGTAAGTTCTTTGGTTAATCAATTATATAACTTCTGTCTGCCATCTAGAGGGATCTCCCTTGCCCATCATTCCCGATTTTCTGATTGAGGACTTACTGGAGAGTTGCATAGCTTTAGAAGCTGCATTTTCTGGGATGTAAATTTCTAGGCTCTAGAATGGCTCTATATATTGAAAAATCATCAATTATTACCTGCAAAGCCTAGAGCTATGGCAAGCTTAGCAGGTCTCTTTCAATTCCAAACAGAAGTAAATGGAACATGTTATTTTTCTAATCGAAAGGCCTACAGAGAAGAAGTCACCCTCTTCTCAGGGCCTTTATATAAAGTTCTATTAGGTCTAAAACTAGGACTGTCATTGTAATTACCAAAGGTGATTCACCACACTATGGGATATGTAGAAGAAGTTAAACTTAAGCAATTATAAAAGAGAGCACATGTTCAAGAAAATGTCAAGCACATCAAGGATAATATAAAAAATACCATGTCAACTAGGGCAGAGAACCAGATTGGAACCAGAGAAAAGGAATTCTCTCCTATAAATCAATGACTTTATTTATGTATTGATTTTAATTTTTTTAAAATTGATTTTAGAGAGAGAGGAAGTGAAAGGGATAGAGAGATAGAAACATCAATGAGAGAAAA